GATCATGGCAAACAGAAACGAAGGTTAATTTGATGCTTTTTTTTTTTTTTTTTGTTTAATTTTATATATTTTGTGCTTAAAAGTGGAATGAGGAACTAATAATTTTGTATAATATTATTTGATCAGGGTTATCAGTTCTGGACACAATCTGACGAGAAAGGGAATTTCTTAATTAAAAATGTTCGAGAAGGGGACTATAATTTGTATGCATGGGTCCCTGGAGTTGTTGGAGATTATAAGCATGACATTAATATTACCGTCAAAGCAGGTAAAAATATAATTTTCGATGGGCCTAACTTTATAATGAACTTTTATGGGCCAGTCTGAAGTATTAGCAAATAAAATCTAAACAGGCCCATGTTGTCAGAATCATATTGAGAAGCTTGCCAATCACTGTAGCAACAGTTCTGTTTCTACTTTCACGTGACTAATTGCTTCTTTGACATGTTTAACACAGGATCTAAGTTCAAGTTGGGAGCCATTGTGTATAGGCCTCCCAGATATGGTCCTACATTGTGGGAAATTGGCGTTCCCGATCGCTCTGCTGTTGAGTATTTCGTGCCGGACCCCTATCCAACACTCATGAACCGACTGTACACTAAGGACACCATGGACAAGTAGTTTGCTAATACCATACTAAAACTTAGGTGTTACATATTATTTCTTGCACTACATTGGCTTGATTCCATAAAAAATTATATGATCTGCAGGTTTAGGCAATACGGATTATGGGAACAATATGCAGATATCTATCGTAACGATGACCTCAAGTACACCGTCGGCGTTAGTGATTATACTCGACAGTGGTTCTTTGCTCATGTTACCAGGTTTTTAGTTCATCTATTACCTTTTAGTTTTATGGGGTCTGGAAACCTTATTAATTTTCCAGGGCCTGTTTCTAAATTTCTAGTAATGCATTGCAGGGAAATAGGAAATAGGACATATCAAGCAACGACATGGCAGATTATGTTTGAGCTTCCATATGTTGATAATCCAGGACCTTACACACTTCAAGTGGCCTTGGCATCAGCAACTGACTCTGAATTACAGGTATAATACATATCTTTCTGCCACCTGCAAAACCAATTCATCTCAATATTAATTTTCTGCTAATGAACTTCTAAAATGGTTTTATAGGTTCGACTCAACGATGCAAATGCCGAAAAACCTCATTTCACCACAGGGCTAATCGGCAAGGACAACGCCATTGCCAGACATGGAATTCATGGGTTGTACAGGTTTTATAGTATCAATGTTCCAAGCAATAAACTTTACAGAGGAAACAACACAATCTATCTAACTCAGTCAAGAAGCAGAAGCCCCTTCCAAGGAATTTTGTATGATTACATTCGCTTAGAAGGTCCCCCTGCCCGTGAAACTTGATAACGCCAAAATGCTGTAGCATAAAGTTTATATTGATTAATTTATTGTAATTTTTTTAGGCATTATTTAGTTAATCTCTTCTTGTGATTAGCCTTAAAAGTAGATAAAATGCGCAATAGATTTAATCAAACTCATTCCTTGTATCACCCATTGTATACATTGTTATTCAATCTTGCTCATTCTTTGGTTTGCAAATGCTTATATGAATTTAAAAGATGTATGCATAATCTTTGTGGCAAACAATGGTAGATTGGTAGGAACAAGGGGACTACGGTCCTATCTCCCCCATTGAAAGCAACTCAGTGGAGTTTCACAAATTAGGAAATAAATCATACCCTACAATAAACAAGAAGATGACAATGCACAAAGATGGATGATAATAATTTACGTATTGGTATCTCATAACTACAAAAATAAAGATTTGATTGTTCTTTGGCAGCTCCTTGACCACTTATACCCCTCGCTATCCATTCACTGTTGCTCCCATTTTGCATTTTGTACTGAAATTAAAGAAATTCAAAGAACTGATATTAATGGAGCAAATAACAGAGGAAGTGCAGTAAAAGATGGCCTTTGGATGGGCAGCCAGAGACACTTCTGGTCTTCTATCTCCTTTCAGTTTTTCCAGGAGGTTAATTTTATCTCTACTCTCCGTTATGTTTCTCTCTTACGTGATTATGATACCTTTCTCTAAAAATATTAGATCCGTAAGTATGGAGATTCATGGAAGATGTTTTGTGTTAAAAATTATTTAGACCGATTTGCAGGGTAACTGGAGAAAAAGACGTGACTTTGAAGGTGCTGTATTGTGGGATATGCCATTGTGATCTTCACATGATAAAAAACGATTGGGGCTGTAGATGTATTGGCTGGAGAATTCTAAGGAAAAGATGGAGAAAAATGTGTTGAGAGAAAGCTCTGCATTTTCATATATTAACATTGCAAATTTATACAACATAAACAGTCCACTGTTACACTAACTTTGTAGAGATATTTACAAATTTGAAATTTAGACCAAAGTTTACAACTAACACAAACCTTAATCACAGCTGAATACACCTAAACACATCACTAAAAACACATCAACTTAAGTTGCTCACACATGTTAGAATACAAGGCAAAACAGAGAGTTCTTTGGCGTCAAAAGGTTTTCAAAACCAAACTGAATTTCAGTTACATTTCCAGCAAAATACCACTGTTTCAACACTCCTTGATTTTATTGCTGGAAACACCAATTCTGAGCCTAAAGTCTTCAAACTTGGCTTTGGACAAGCCTTTCGTCATGATATCAGCCACTTGATCTTCACCCCTGCAATGGACTAGCTTAACTTCTCCACCTTGTTCAGCTTCTCTCACTGCATGAAACTTGATTTTTATGTGCTTAGTTCATCCATGATGAACTGGATTTTTAGCCATAGCCACAACTGATTGATTGTCACACATAATTGTAGTAGGATTTCTTTGTTTCAGCTTTAAATATTCCAGGATGTTTCTCAACCAAATGCATAACCTGAAGTGCTTCTCATGTCCTCTATTGAACCACCCCAATCACTGTCAGAAAATCCCACCAATTCAAAGATTTCTGACCTCCTAAACCATACTCCAAAATTAGTGCTACCCTTTACATATCTTAGCACCCTTTTTGCAACTTTAAAGTGTGTTTCCTTGGGCTGACTCATAAACCTGGACAACAAGCTTGTAGCATACATTATATCTGGTCTGGTTGCTGTTAAATATAGCAAACAACCAATCAAACTCTTATACAGCCCTTCATCAATATTCTATGCATCATCATCTTTTGAAAGCCTTTGATTAGGAACCAATGGAATGTCCACTGGTTTGCAATTCTCCATGTTGAATTTCCTTAAAACTTCACTTGCATACTTCTCTTGGTTGACAAAAATCCCATTTGAACTTTGATGAACTTGAATCACGAGGAAATAAGACATTTCCCCTAAATTAGTCATCTCAAATTCATTGAGCGTGGACTTCTTAAACTCCTCAAATTGAGCAAGTTTACTCCCTGTCACAAGAAGATCATCAACATACAAGGAAATAATCATCACATCCTCATCAACTTCTCTAACATACAAAGTATGCTCATTTGGACTCCTCACAAAATCCAAGCTTATTAAGTGATCATTAATCCTACTATACGAGGCCCTTAGTGCCTGTTTCAGGCCATATAAGGCCTTCTTCAGGAGGTAAACTTTATCTTCATTTCCTCTGATCTAGTACCCTTTTGGCTGTTCAACATATATTTCCTCATTCAGCCATCCATTGAGGAAGGTTGATTTAACATCCTATTGAAAAATTTTCCAGCCAAATTGAGCTGCCACAGTAAGCAATAATCTGATTGTATCATGCCTAGCTACTGGTGCAAAGGTGTCCAAGAAATCAACTCCATATTGTTGAGCAAAACCTTTGACAACCAACCTATCGTTGTGCTTAAGAACTGAGCCATCCGGATTGAGTTTCCTCTTGAAAATCCATTTAACTTGGATTACTTTTCTGTTCTAAGGCCTGTCCATAAGTTTCCAGGTTTGGTTCTTCTCAATCATTGCTAACTTCTCCTTCATGGCAACTCTCGAAGCCTCTGATTTTGCTACTTCATAGTAGTTTGTTGGTTCAAGTGAAGCCATGTTGCACCTCTCATAAACCTCAGCTAAAGGTCTAATGCCTCTTCTGCATCATTCTGATCTTCTTAAAAAATCTGATCACTAGCAATTTCTGTCCATTAAGGTCTTGTCTCTATATCAACTTTGTTTTCTTCACAATTCCAAACTCCATCCTCATCTACCTTGACATCCTTGGAGATCAAAATCTTCTTGGATTTTGGAACATCCACCCGATAAGCTTTGGATTGGTTGCTATAGCCAATGAAAATTCCAATCAAGGCCTTATCATCCAACTTGGATCTTTTTGCTGTTGGAACTAAGATATAGTATATACTCCCAAAATTTTTGAGATTGTCTACTGCTGGTTTGACTCCATACTAGGCTTCATAAAGAGTCTGGTTGATCAAGGCTTTTGTGGGAAGCCTATTGAGTAAGTAGACTGCGGTGTTGACAACCTCTGCCCAAAAACTCTTCGGCAACTTCTTCTCAGCAACCATACACCTTGCCATCTCTATAACAGACCTGTTCTTCCTCTCACTAACTCCATTTTGCTATGGAGGGTAGGGACTACTATACTGATGTCTAATTTTAGCCTCCTTGCAAATTTGCTCAAACTCTTAAGAAGTGTATTTAGTGCCATTGTCACTTTTCAAGGTTTTAATGGTTTTTCCTATTTGGTTTTCCACCAGTTGCTTAAACTTCTTAAACACACTAGCCACCTCACTTTTTTGCTTCAAAAAATACACCCAATACATCTTGGACCAATCATTTATAAATAACACAAAGTACCTACTTCCACTCAATGATAAAGTTTCCATAGGTCCACACACATCTGAGTGAATGAGTTGAAGTTTTCTAGCAGCTTTCTAGGCTTGGTTTATGGGAAAGGACTGCCTACTCAACTTGCCAAGTTGACAAGCTGGGCATACAACCTTAGTTTTTTAGATTCTGGACCAATTTTTTGGTATGAATTTCTTTAAGGCCATGGTAATGGAAATGGCCAAATCTCTTATGCCATTGTTCAAACTCATCTACCCTAGCATTATAGGCTCTAACTTCAGATTTTTCCCACTTAATAGGGAAGCTTTTTCCCACAATTTTTACCCTTATGAGTTTACACCCTTCACTATCCAAGATTTGGCAGGTTTGGTTTTGAAAATGCAGGACATAATTCTTCTCCAAAATTTGTCCTACACTAAGGAGGCTTTGACTAATTTCGGGTGCATAAAGTACATTGGTAATGAGTTTTGTACCTATTGGTGTCTAGATAACAGCATCTCTCTTTCCTTTTGCTTCCACAAACTCACCATTTCCCACTTTGATTCTGGACTGATATGCATGATTCAATTTGACAAAGTTCTGCAGGTTTGGTGTCATGTGGTTTGTACATCCACTGTCATTTAGCCAACCTTCATTGTTTGTTTATGTTGCACTGCAGGAAGCTACAAACAGTTGCTCTATCCCCTACTCTGGTTGTTGATCATCAATCATTTGAGCTTGTTGTTGGGACTGCTCTCCTTTGTTCTTGTAGACCCTCTTTATATGGCCAAACTGCTTGCAGGCCCTACATTGTATCCCTGGCCTAAGTAAACACCTTTTCTCGGAATGGCCTTTCTTTTTGCAGTGAGAGCAAGATGGATAATCTTTCATCCCACCTGGTTTTCCCTACTGACCATTACCCATTTTTGTCACTAGCATATCTCTTATTGTTCCCTTGTGCAAACTTGCCTTTGTGAGTTGCCATCATTCCACCCTCACTTGCATCTTCTTGCCTCAAGAGCCTTATTTGCTCTTGTGCTTGCAATGCATGGACCAACTCAGTAAGAGTGATATGTGACATATCCTTTGAGTCCTTAAGAGATGAAATTTTGGGCTCAAACCTTTGGGGCAAACTTACCAAAACCTTCTCCACAACTCTCATATCTATCGACTCTACTCCAAGCAACTTGATTTTGTTGACTACACTCATCAGCCTATCAACATACTCTTTCACCTTCTTAGATTCTTGTATCCTCAACATCTCAAACTCCCTTCTTAGATTCAGCACTTGCATATTCCTTGTAGTGTCACTTCCCATGAATTCTTCTCTCAACTTGTCCCAAGCCTTTTTTGCAATTTCACATGCCATTATCCTTGTGAATACAAGGTCTGTTACAACAGGATAAATATGGGACAAGGTTTTCAGAGCTTTAGCAACTTCTTCTTCAAAGATTCTGATATGATTTAGAGTTGGATTTGGTCCCAACTATGTTGGCTGTCTATTCTCTTCTACATACTGCCACAAGCCTTGGCCCCGAAGGAAAGCCTTCATTTTTACAGCCCACATGTGATAGTGTTCACCATTGAAATCTGGAGGTGACATCAAGGCTGATTGAGCAGCCATTGGTTTAGGTTAAAG